GAGAGAGAGAGAGACCCTGCTTTTGGAGATGCAAGGATCACCTCCAGTCAGAGGTACATTAAGAGAATTTCCTCATAAGATGGTGATTAGGCCAAGGCTAGGAGACCAAAAAGAGATTAGAAACTGAGCACAATGAAAGTAATGGCCCTGCATAGGATGGTCATGACTCAAGGGACATGAGTCAGAACCCTGACCACCCTATGGCATGTGTGCTCATAGTCGCATGGGAAGGCATTCTTCTGATGTGTTATGATCCAACTAAGAAGAGCTAGTTCACATGCTCCTTGAGAGGACCCCTACATATGAATAATTCATGTCCCCAAGGGTGCACTTGTAATCCATTGACACCAGAGAGTGTTGGGATGTTGATTGGGGCGTGACTTTGATAAGCCACATTACGCATCCCTACCAGATACTGTAGAGCATAGGCTTTTTAGATCATTCCTAGATACTAAACCATCCCCAAGGGTGCCCTTATAATCCATTGACACCAGAGAGGGTTGGGACATTGATTGGGGGTGACTTTGATAAGCCACATTACACGTCCCTACCAGATATTGTAGAGCATAGGCTTTATAGATCATTCCGAGATAATGAACCATCATTCCAAGACTACCTAAGTGAATTACTTTGATACCTAGATCTTGACCATGAGATCCATTTACCCATTGTCCTATTTTAGTTTGATGCCAATGCGAGTAATTCCAGTGGAAAATGATTTGGAGAATTTTTTAAGAGCGTTTTCGAATTTTTGAAATTTTTCTGAGCATGAAAATGAAGATTTTTTAGATTGTTTGGAGTAATTCCAAAGAAGGACAATATAGTGGGGGTCCACACATGCAACCCAAGTGGTCGTAGGGTGACACGTGGCAACCCCACCTCAGCCTAAGGGGGCTAACATCATCATGACATGGAGCCCTAGGTGCTTCTCCTCTTGTGGCATTTGAAAAATTGTTTTAAATAGTGTTTTATAAAGTTTGAAATAAAATTGTTCTTTTAACTTAAATGAATGTGTATACCAAATGTCCATATTTCACATGCCTGTAGCAGTTGGTTCCATTATTGAACAGTTGATGAGAAGATTCTTCTGGTCTGGAGACGATTCCAACAACAAACTCCATCTGATAGCCTGGGATAAAATCTGTCAGACTAAAACTAGGGGTGGCCTTAGAATCAAGAACCTCAAAATCCAGAACATGGAGCTCCTAGGAAATGGTGTTGGTGTCTTTTGACCCTGAGCAACCAATTGTGGATTGATATCCTAAAATATAAATATCGCCTGCCAAACTTTCCTTGGCTGCCGAACTGCAGGGCTAACCAGAGGTCCTCTGGCATTTGGAGATCAATATGCTCAGTTTTCCCCGCCTTCAAATCCCGTATTAGATTCCATCCGAGGTCGGGAAATCGCATTCTTTTCTGGCTAGACCCGTGGATAGGGCACACCCCTTTGAAGGACAAATTCCCCGACCTCTTCTCTCTAACTAGAGATCAAGGAGCAACTGTGGCTGACGAAATGCTCCTGGTAGGGCCTCTTTGCTCGTCAAACCCAGATTTTAGGAAGGCTGTCACCGATCTAGAAACTGAGAACTTTGCCACTCTAGCGGCATAACTTCAGGCCTATTTCTTAGCACCATCTGGGCCTGATCGTATCATTTGGTGTCCGTCACCATCAGGGGTCTTCTCAGTTCCCTCTTTCTTTCGCAGCTTATCTCCTCCACCAACCCTCCCTCTTGCCCCTGCTGTTGCAGCTGCCCAAGCTTGGAAATCTTTCTCCCCTCCTAAAATCAAGATCTTCATGTGGCTGGCTCTTTCCCAGAGAGTTCTGACAGTCGATCGATTACAAACAAGAGGAATCCCGATACCAAATCGGTGTGTCATGTGCGTTTCGGCAGAAGAAACAAATAACCATGTTCGACTGCACTGCCCCTTTACCTTCAATCTTTGGGAGCTATCCTCAAACTTTTCAACATGCAGTGGGTGCTATCAGCAGAGGTGACATCCATTCTATCTTTAGTCAAACCTTTCCCTTGGCATAAAGAAGGGATCCTTCTTTGGAAAACGACGTTGCTTGCTGCTTTGTGGGCACTTTGGATCGAGCGCAACAACAGAATATTCTTGGGGAATTTTCAACTTGGCCCAAAGTCTTTAACAAGCTTAAGTCCACGATCATCTTCTGGGCAACCAACCACCAATA